CCCTTCGCATCCCGCGGCTCCGTCGGGCCTCGGCGTCCTGGGGGGGAGGGATGAACCGGAGGCCAGGACGCTCAGGATTGGGCGCCTGCGGAGTGCGCCCCTTCCTCCCCGGCCCAGCATTAATTAGCACGTGCAGCCATGGATTGCAAACAGATGGCCCGCGGGCCAAACGCAGCCAGAACCTGATTTTGGTCCCTCACTCCTCCCCACGGTTTTCTAAAAGCGTGAATGCGTCAGTTTCCCCACCACCCCCTTTGTATTAGTACACCAATTTAAAAAAATATATATTTTGTATTGATTTCAGAGAGGAAGGGAGAGGGAGAGAGAGGTAGAAGCATCCATGATGAGAGAGAATCATTGATTGGCTGCCTCCTGCACGCCCCCCTACTGGGGACTGAGACCAACACCAGGCATGTGCCCTGGTCAGAAATCAAACCATGACCTCCTGGTTCAGAGGTCGATGCTCAATCACTGAGCCATGCCAGCCAGGCTAGTACACCCATTTAAAAAAAATAATTAGCACATAAAAGTTTATTAAACATTCTATTGATCTTAGACATGGGATATGTTAAATTTATAGAATGATTTTTAGAGAATTGACATTAAAATGATGACTCTTACCATCCATGAATTTGGATTTAGCCAACAGGTATTGACGTCCCCAACTAGAAGGGTACACCCGTTTTTAAACCTTTCTGTGACATGTCTGGCCCCTAAGGATTGTGACTTTGTGACCCCGTGACCTGCCTCCCCCAGCAGGCCCCACCCACCTGCAAGAACTTGTCAAAGCGGAAAAAGGACCCCTTTAGCTCCTGCTTCTTCTGTTCCAACTGTTCCCGGCGCTGCATCAGGACTGCCATCCTGTTCTGGAACGCCTGGCGTGTGAACATGGGTGTCTGTGTGTCCAGGGTTTCAAGTCATCCAGCGCCTTTAAGTTCACACTTAACTCCTCTCATCTGTGGTCCCTGATCATGTCACTGCACCCCTCCTCACATCCACCCATAGCTCCCACCAGCCGCAAGGAAGCCCAGGTGCCCTTCTGCAGCCCCTGCGTGTCCGTGTCCCTGCCCTTTCTCAGGCCTCATCTCACCCTCCCCACTCTGACACTGTGTCTTCCGGCCACTTGGCCACCTGAGCTTTGTCCTCGCCTTCCAGCCTTTGTATATGCTGTTTCCTCTTTGTTTCTTCCTTCTCACACTGTCCCCCTTTGATGGATAAGCCAACTTGCCCTTCAGCAATCCCTAAGACACCACCTCCTCCAGGAAGCCCTCCTTGGTCACCCTCATGTGGAAATAGGGGCTTTCTCTGGGCTCTTACAGTCCTTCTCAGTGCGTCCCCCTCCTGGCAGTCACCAGCTGGACATGGTCTGGGTCCTTCTCTAGACTGTGAGCCCCTGAGGACAGGGACCATGGTGAGACCCCTAGATCCGGGCGAGTGCCCTGCACGTGGGTGCTCAGAGCACATTGATTGGCACCAACAACTGATTTCCTTGGATCCCCACTTGACAGGTGAGGAAACCAGGGCTCAGCGTGGTGACGTGACTTGCTCAGGCCTGGGAGCTAATAAATGGGCTCTAGGATTTCCCATTCCCCTGCTCACCACCATTTTTTTGGTCTGGGGTCCCCACAAGTCTCAGGACTACAGGGGGGGCTCACCTCCCTCTGGGCCCGCAGGCCCCGGTCCACATCCACCAGCTCCTGCCTCTTCTGCAGGAGACACAGCACTGGCAGGGAGCGGCCGGGATTCCGCTCCGGGATCTTCCTGGAGGGGCTCACGGAGGAGGTGGGGGTGAAGGAGGGAAGAGTCAGGGCCCCCAAACTCCCCCCTAGTGCCTGAAATGCCCCCATTAGCCACCTACTGGCTGTGGAATTCTTCATTCATTCATTCATTCATTCAACAAATTGTACTGAGCACCTAGCAAATGCCTGGCACCATCACAGCACTGGGGCCCCTGCTGGGGACAAGACAGACAGAAAGCGGCCCTGCGGGAGCTGGCATCCCGGGGGGAGGGGGCACACACACAGGAGATAAAGCTAACAAATAAGAAGAAGCAATGCCAGGACATGGTAGGTGCCAAGGTGACAAATCCTTCAGTGCGGAAGGGGGTCAAGACGTCTCTCTGAGGAGGGCCAGAACCTTGGTGAGCGGAAGGGGCGGGCGGGAGGAGAGAGATGGGGATTACAATCAGAGAATTTGTGGGGGCCAGAGGGTGGCGAGGGAGGACTTGGGCCTTGATTGTGAGTGAGGTGGGCAGCGGGGGAGGCTTCTGAGCAGAGGAGGGGTCCCCCTGGCCGCTGTGGGGGACAGAGACAATAGGAGGGGCAGGAGAGCTGCAGGAGACCGGTGACAGGGTGATGGGGTGACAGATGAGGTGGTTCTGATCGGGCGGTTGTAGTGCGGAGGGGAGGAGGGGTCCGTTCTGGATACAGTTTGAGAGCTGAGCTGATGGAGTGATGAGGGAGGTGAGAGAGGAGTCCGTGCCCTGGCCGGTTTGGCTCAGTGTATGAGGCATTGGCCGTGGACTAAAGGATCTGGGTTTGATTCCTGTCAAGGGGACATGCCCGAGTTGCAGGCTCTATCCCCAGTAGGGGGCGTGCAGGAGGCAGCTGATCACTGATTCTCTCTCATCATTGATGTTTCTCTCTCTCTCTCTCTCCCCCGACCCCTTTCCCTCCCTGTGGGCCCAGAAGGAGATGAGCCCCCATTGTAGTCCTTTTATCTGAATCAATACAAATATATTTTTAAAAAAATAGAAAGAAGGAGCTCGAGGTGAACCTGGGACTAAGAGCTGGGAGGGTGTTGCTGATGGAAGAAGGTGAGTGGGGGGAGGCGGCCAGGGGAGATCAGCTCCCTGCTGTGGCCGAGTTGAAACTGAAGACGCCTGTTAGAGCTCCGGGGAGGGGTCCCGCCTGTTAGAGCTCCGGGGAGGGGTCCAGCAGGCAGCCCCCTCCGGTCGGCTGTGTAGGGAGCAGGAGGGATACACTAACTCCATTCGGCAAGCCTTTCCCAGCGCCGGTTCAGGGAGACGCTGCCATTTTCAGATTCTAAGACTGCGGTTGGGACCCTCAGTCACTCCACGGAACACAACGCAGGCCTGGGACAGGCTTCCTCCACCCTCCCTTTAAAAATGCAGTTTGCAGGCATAGGGGGCAAAAGTTCATAGAATAATTCCTTCCCACCTGGGTTCAGACCATTTAATCTCAGCTGGATGTCAGCTGGGGTGAGAATCAAGGGCAGGTTAGAGATGTGGGCTGCTGACCCCCCGCTCTGCTCTCACCAGCCCGGAGACGTCAGGGAAGTCCCTAGTTCTCTCCGAGCCTCAGTTGTTTTCATCTGTGAAATGGGGGCGATGATCTCCCACCGTGAACAGGCTGTGGAAGCCAGGATCCAGGACTTGGGAGGGAATGGGCCACCCGCTCACTCCTGCCCTCCTTCCAGCCCTCCCTGCCACCCCCAGACACTCACATCGGCAGCTTGTCTTGCAAGGCCAGTCGGAAATGTCTCTCCCAGGACACGGCCATTCTCTTGGCGATTTCTGGGGCTTTCTTTCCACCTGGAGGGTTTCTGATGGAGGGTGGTGCAACAGCGTGTTCGGTACTCCCAGAAGGCAGCCACCAAGCAGGCCCTGGTTGCCCAGGCAACCATCAACGCAACATTCCATTGCCTGGCTGAGGCCCGGGAAATCCACCCAGGGAGGGAGAGGGCGGGGCTGCCAGGAGGGCAGCAGCCTCTGCCCCTTCTGGGGGCTTTAACTCCCCGTCTAAATTGGGGTTGCCAGAGGAGAGGACGTGGGTCCCTTGGCCAAGAATTCACCCCTCTTGGTGACCCATGTCTGGTCAGGCCTCTTCCTGGCTGGGTGGGGTGGGACCTTGCTAACGTGGCTCTATGCCCAGATGTCTGTTATTATTGGGCACCCACTGTTGGCCAGGTCTTGGGTGGGGTCACTTACTCCCCTGCAAGGTGCCGAGGGCCTACCATGTTCCAGCCCCTTGAGGGTCCACTTCCTTTGCTGGGGATGGGGCTCCCCTGGCCACGCCTCACGGAGGGGGCCCCGGGCCTGGCTGGGGAGCTAAAGAGGACAGCTGGAGACCAGCTGGGAAGAGACCCGTGATCTGGATTTGGAGGCTGGGGGTAGGGGAGCAGCTGACGTGTGGTTTAGGCAATTACTGTGGGTCAGACACAGTCCTAAATAACTCAGGTAGCCACACATCTAGGAGAACGACTTGTAAAAAACTGGCAGCACCAACTCCTGGCTAGGGAGCCATTGGAACTCTCAAAGTAATTCAGTGTCAGATTTAATCCGTGAACAGCACTGCAGAGGTGGTATTAGGGGCAAGTACTCAGTAACATTACAAACACCCATGGGTATGCCCTAGCCGGTTTGGCTCAGTGGATAGAGCGCGGGCCTGCGGACTGAAGGGTCTCAGGTTCGATTCTGGTCAAGGGCACACGCCTGGGTTGCGGGCTCGATCCCCTCAGTAGGGGGCGTGCAGGAGGCAGCTGATCAATGATTCTCTCTCATCATTGATGTTTCTCTCTCTCTCTCCCTCTCTGAAATAAGTAAAAATATATTTTTTAAAAAAACGCACACCAGCTCACACACCCTTCCCACTTTAAAATTGTGGAAGTGGCTCTTAGTTAAAAAAAGAAAGAAATGTATTTTCACATTGCAGGTAACACTATTTAAAAACTATAATTACTTATAAATGCCTGTATTGCTTAAAACAACTGCTAAGCATTTTATTGGAGCATATTTTTTTTAAATGGAACTAAAATAATGTTATCTTTGAGCAGTTTGCAGTAAACTGTAGACTATCCACGAACATTGATGTGACGTGACAAGGTACATGATCTAGATTTTTCCTGATTTTAAAAAAATATTGAGATATAATTGGATAAAGTAAAATTCACTTTTTCCACGTACGGTTCTGTGAATTTTGGCAAATACATAAAGGCATGTAACCACCACCACAGTCAAGATACAAAACGCTTGCCCCAGAAGTTCTCATGTCCCTTTGTACTCAACCCTTGTCCCCACCGCAGCCCTTGGCCGCCACTGACCTGTTCTCTAGCCCTATAATTTTGCCTTTTTCAGAAAGTCGTGAATAGAGCCTATACCAGCGGTTCTCAACCTGTGGGTCGCGACCCCTTTGGCAGTCGAACAGCCCTTTCACAGGGGTCGCCTAAGACCATCCTGCATATCAGATATTTACATGACGATTCATAACAGTAGCAACATGACAGTTATGAAGTAGCAACGAAAATAATTTTATGGTTGGGTCACAACATGAGGAACTGTATTTAAAGTGCCAGAAGGTTGAGAACCACTGACCTATACCTTGTAGCCTTTCGAGTTTGGTTTCTTTCATTTAGCAATATTCATTCTTTTTTAAAAAAAATATTTTTTTTATTGATTTCAGAGAGGAAGGAAGAGGAGAGAGAAATAGAAACATCCATGATGAGAGAGAATCATGGATCGGCCGCCTCCTACAAGTCCCCCACGGGGGATCACTGGGGATCAAGCCCACAATCCGGGCATGTGCCCTTGACTGGAATCGAACCTGGGACCTTTTGGTTCACAAGCTGACGCTCTATCCACTGACCCAAACCGGGCAGGGCAGCAATATTCATTCTTGATCCATTCATGTTGGTGTGTGAATCAGCAAGGTGCATCCTTCTTCACTGCTGAGTAGAATTTCACGGTATGGTTTGTCCATTCACCTTCCAGTTGGGGTAGTTCTAGTTCTCGACAATTATGGTATAAAGATAGTATTTCCATGCATTTTTTGTGTGTGAACGTAAGCTTTTGTTGGGTCCTGTGATAAGTGTTCATTCAACCGTATAAAACTCTGTAAACTGGTTTGCAGTGTGCCTTACCGTTTTGATATTCACACGAGCCATGCATGAGAATTCTGATTGCTCCATAGCTTCGCCAGGCGTTGGTATTGCCAGTTTTTAAAAAAATATTTTTCAATTGATTTCAGGGATAGAAACATCAGTGATGAGAGAGAATCATCAACTGGCTGCCTCCTGCACGCCCCACACTGGGGATCAAGCCTGCAACTCGGGCATGTGCCCTGCCTGACCAAGAATCAAACTGTGACCCCCTGGTTCATAGGTCGACACTTAACCACTGAGCCATGCTGGCTGGGCTGCCAGTGTTTCTTACAAAGTCATTATGATAGATGTGTAGCTGTCTATTGATTCTGAGATCATTGTAGATTCATCTGCAGTTTAAAAAAATTATACAAAGAGGTGCCATACCCCTTCACCCAGTGCCCCCCCGCCCCCGTGGCGACTTCTTGCACAACTCTACACTATCACAACCAGGAAACTGGCATTGAGAATCCACTGACCTTACTCAGATTTCATTTGCATGACTGTGTATTCAGTTCTATGCATTTTTATCTCATTTGGATGCTAGCGATCGCCACAGTCCAGATACAAAACATTCATCTCAAAGGTCCCTCCTGCCCGCCTCCCTAACCCCTGGCACCCATTCATCTGTTCTCTGAGTGGTTTGGTCACACCAGGGAGGTTATGTAATTGGAATCACATAGCATGTAACCTTTTGAGAGTGGCTTTTAAAAATATTTACTTTTATTGATTTCAGAGAGGGAGAGAGAGAGAGAAACGTCAATGATGAGAAGGAATCATGGATTGGCTGCCTCCTGCATGCACCCTACTGGGAATTGAACCCACAACCGGGGCATGAGACCAGAATCGAACCTGGGACCTTTCATCCGCAGGCTGACGGTCTATCCACTGAGCCACACCAGCTAGGGTGAGAGTGGCCTTTTTCACTCAGCTGCATCCCCTTGAGAGCCCTGCTCATTGCTACCTGTATCCATGTTTGTTCTTTTTGATCACTAAGCAGCATTCCACAGCAAGAATGGGCAATGTTTGTTTAACATTCAGGCTGAAGGACATTTGGGTTGTTTCCAGTTCAGGGCTATTATGAATAAAGCCACTCTGAAGATTCAGGTCCTTAATTTTGTATGAACCTAAGTTATCATTTCTCTGGCATAGCAGATGCCCAAGAGCATAACTTCTGGGTCCTACAGGAAATGCCTGTTTAGTTTTAGTTTTGTTTTTATTTTTATTTTTTTAAAAATATATTTTATTGATTTTTCACAGAGAGGAAGGGAGAGGGATAGAGAGTTAGAAACATCGACACGAGAGAAACATCGATCAGCTGCCTCCTGCACACCCCCTACTGGGGATGTGCCCGCAACCCAGGTACATGCCCTTGGCTGGAATCGAACCTGGGACCCTTCAGCCCGCAGGCCGACGCTCTATCCACTGAGCCAAACCGGTTAGGGCTAGTTTTGTTTTTAAAGAAACTGCCATATTCCTTTCCAGAGCGGCGGTGCCATTTTATATTCCAACCAGCAGTGTGGGAGCGATCTAGTTTTCTGCAGCCTCACTGTTACCCCCCCTTTTTTAGACATTCTGAAGGTGTGTTGTGGTCTTTCAGTTCTCTAATGGCCAATGGTGATGAACACCTTCTCGGGTGCTTATTCGCCATCCGCAATCCTCCTCAGCAAAATATCTGTCCACGACCGTCGCCTGTGCTCTAACTGGATTGTTCTCTTTCCCGCTGTTGAGTGCCGAGACGTCTCCCCGCATATGCCTCCGTGCTCCGGGGGAGCCTCTGTCGGACATGAGCTTCCCCCCAGGCTGGAGCCTCTCTTTCATCCTCTCCCACGATCTTCGATGAGGTGCAATCTGCCACCGTTTCCTTTACGGGTCGTGCTTTTGGTATCAAATCCAAGATGGGATTTGAACTCAGGCCGTCTGGGTGTAGAGTCACCTTCTTAACCACAACACTGCAGATACAGGGGAGCCCTTCTTGGGTCTTTCCTTCCTCAGGCCCATTCCCGCCCCCAAGATGCCATCATCTCGAAGCCAGCATGCATCCTTCCTTTCTTAATGTCTATTGTTTTAGGGGCGTATGTTTGCAAATGTTTATTGAGCACCTGCTATGTACCAGATACTATGTGAGGATGCAGCAGCGGATCAGACAAGACCTGCCTTCAGGGGGCTTGCAGGCTAATGGGGAGGCCAAGTGAATCAAATAGTCTTCTAGCCCTAGCCGGTTTGGCTCGGTGGATAGAGGATCGGCCTGCGGACTGAAGGGTCCCAGGTTCGATTCTGGTCAAGGGCACATGCCCAGGTTGCGGGCTCAAACCTCAGTGTGGGGCATGCAGGAGGCAGCTGATCGATGATTCTCATCATTGATGTTTCTATCTCTCTCTCTCTTCCTTTCTCTCTGAAATCAATAAAAATATTTAAAAATAGTCTTGTAAATATGTCACCACACTCTGATAGGGTGAGGGGAGGTGTAGAGTACAAGGAGGGGGCAGGGAGGCCTCCTGAGGAAGTGACATGTCAACCCAGACCTGAAGGAGGAGGAGGGGTGAGAAGAGGAGCGGGGCAGTATTCCAAGTAGAGAAAACAGCATGTGCAAAGGTCCTGAGGCAGGAGGACGGGGCCCTCCTAGAAGAGAGCAAAGGCCTGTGGGTTGGCGTGCAGAATTCAAGGATGATGGGGTAGGTCAGGCC